TTTTTTTTTTTTTTTAATCAGGTATTGTAGAGTATTGGACTAACAGAGCCTTCTTCTGTGCCATTAGGAAACCCAAAAGAGCTAGGGAAAGAGTTGATGATGGCAGAATGGACATGCGTGTGGTACCCGACTGTATCTAGGGCGAGAGACCAACTCAGCTGTGGGCCACCAGCAGATAATGTGTCCTGGAGAGGTTCCACTGAAATCCTAAAGAATGTGTGGAGATTGGCCAGGGAAATAGGGGTGCATAGCCCAGGAATAGAGGTGTGGAGCCCAGTTTGGTCTGTGTGGAAAACTTCAAACAGTTCTGTACTATCATATTTTATGTCTGGAAATGAAGGAGAATATATGCAGTTGGGTAGTAAATTAGAGGCTGGCTATGGATGGGTTTGCATACTTGGCCAAGGAGCAATGGGCTGATTTTGAACACATGAGTCCTATGTGTCAAGTTAGCACTGGAAAAAGGAGAACCCTTGGACAGTTGTCCCCAGTATCTATGTTGAGTGATACATGACTGCTGTAGCTCCAGCTCTAGGGAATCCAAAATCCTCTACGACTCCTAGAATACCCATACTTATGTGCACACACCCACACATAGACCCACGTACATACAATTGAAAAAAATGGAGGTTGCTCCAGAGGTCTCCCAAAGATGGTAGGGCCCCTGTGGTCCAGTGATGAGAGGATACAGAGGTAGGAGGATGAATTGTAGGTCTAACTAAGGTTAGTTCATTCTGCGGGCTTTGGTGAAAGATGGATCAGTGGATAATGACAACAGTGAAAGGTGACTGTTATTTGGGTGTTTAGCACAAGAATCTATGTGGAGATTTTAATATAGTTCCTGAGTTAATTCTTACGGAACTTGGTCCATCAAGAGTGTGCAAAGTTATAAGTGATATAGGAAGAGCTGTATAGTAGTACCATTAGATAGCTCCCCTGGCCCTGAAGATTTGTTCTATGTGTAAGTGCTTGTCTGCATATATGTGTGTGTGTATAACATGCATGCCTGGGGCCCATGGAGGCCAGGAGAGGCTGCTGGATCATCTGGAGCTGGAGTTACAGATAGCTGTGAGCTACCATGTGGCAGCCAGGCACTGAGCCCAGGTCTCTGTAAGAGCAGGGCATGCACTTGCCTGTGAGTACATTACTATGGACTCATGTGTGCTGTGCCGTGGGTGTGGTCTCAGTTTTCCTTCTTCCATGGAGGTTCCAGCTCAGCTCACTGGCAAGCAGCTTACACATGGAGCCATCTTGCTGGCCTGTGATAGCTTATAAAACTCAGTACCAAACATAAATCTCAGAAAGCCACACTGTTTACACATGTGCCCTATAAATGTAGCAAAGGGCGGTAACTAAGATACCATGTAACACCTAGGATCCAGTCTGAATAGCTTTCCCTCTCCTTCCTGGTGCTTTGATTATTGGAATTTTTAATTTATTAATGCATTTGGTGGCAAGCTTTTCATTTTTGCTACTTCTTTATTGTGGATTAAGAATGAAAAATATAATAAAGATTAAGACATTTTAAAAGCAGTATATAATTGAGGTTGACTTTGTTGGAAGCAGAAGAATTTTCTGGGGAGATAATCTTTAAAAAAAAATGACACATAAGGAAAAGATGTGATTTAGCAAAGGGCCTCTGTAAAAACATAATAGTAAAAACTAGAGCTAATTTTTTTCAGTCATATACATAAATTAAGAGGTTTGGTTTTGTCTAAGGCTTTTATTAAGCTAACTCATGCTGAATTCTGGGAACTGGGTACATGGCTTCTGCTTACATTGCTACAAGCTCCATAGGGCTTTGCAAATTCAAGGGGCACTGTGGACGGAGCAAGGTATTTACTATTGAAGGCATTTATCTGAAATCTGATTTGGAGGGCAGTGGAGAGATTGCTTAGTTGGTAATGTGCTTGCTGACTGTAAGAGCCAGAAGTAGGGAGGACTGGAGGCACACAGTGTCTTCTGGGTACATCAGAAAGAATGCACTCATGAACTCATAGACACGGCAGTTGCTTGCACAAGATGAAGGCAGTGAACACTAACACGGTGGGAAGTGGATCATGTGCTCTTGCTGAGAAAGTGGGAAGCAGTGGACAGTCCATGAATTCCAAAGGAGGGAGAGTCAGTTTTCTTTATGGGCGCGCCCTTGTGTACACTCAGAAGTATATGGACAGCATAAATTGGAAAAAGAGAGGACAGGAAGTTGAGAGTAAGGAGGTCAGGGAGGATCTGGGAAGAATTAAGGGAAGAGTTGGAGATGGATGTCATCAGAATACACTGAGGCCTGGAGAGATGGCTCAGTGGCTGCTCTTCTAGAGGATCGTATTCAGCTCCCAGCACCTACATGACAGCTCATAACCAATAGGCTGTAACTATTTTGGGGCATCCAACACTCTCTTCTGGCCTCTGATATTATCAGCATGGTCTTCGTACAAAGATTTATTTACAGGTAAAACACCTGTATACATAAATAACCTAAATTAAATTTAAAAGGTACCATTGTATGAAATTCTCTAATCGTGTGTGTGTGTGTGTGTGTGTGTGTGTTTTAAAAAACAGACTTGGCAGTATATGCTTACAGTTCCAGTCCTGAAAAGGTAGAACAGGTAGCCAGCTAGCCAGCCAGCTCAGTCTAATTGGTGAACTGCAGGCCAGTGACAGGCCCTGTTTCAAAGGTCATTCCTAAGATACCCAGCAGGCTGTCCTCTCGTCTACACACACACACACACACACACACACACACACACACACACCCTCAGGCCAGTGACAGGCCCTGTTTCAAAGGTCATTCCTAAGATACCCAGCAGGCTGTCCTCTGGTCTACACACACACACACACACACACACACACACACACACACACACACCCCTCTAAGTAGGAATCAGTGTCTTAGCTTTTGGCACTTAAATGGCTTAAGATTATATAAACGCCAGAGATCCATGAGATAGGAAGAGGAGGGGTACATGAAGGAAGGCATTATATATGCAGTTGAATTGATTTTCCGTATTTCTCCATTCTTTTTAAAGGTAGGAGCACAGAAACAATCCCGTTCCCTCCCTTCTCTTCAAGTGCCCTCTTCGGTACTGCAGATGGATGTTTTCCCCTTGGGTTGTGATAGGGCACACTTTGTGATAGTTCAGCCCCGAGGACAGCTTCTGTCTGAGCTCTTGTCAGGCTATCTCCAGAGGAACATGCAGTGAGATGCCTATGGCTGTGATTATCCCACACCCCACACACATCCAGGGCTTCTGTTTGCAAAGGAATCTTGTAAAATTGCAGATTCCCATAGGCCTTCCTAATAGTTTACAGCACCAGCAGTACACTATGTCTGAAACAGAACCAAACTTTCAAGAGATCTTGAGTCCGCCTTTATTTTTATTAATGTGAGATGCAGCGTTCAAGTGAAGGTGATGGGTGGTGGCACAGCTGTCTAGAATTTAGCCCCAAACCCTAGTGAATCCTAGGACAGAATTCTTCTACTGAGGGTTGTTCCTTCTTGGGCTCACTTTTAGTTTATAACATTAGAATCTGTCTGTCTGTGTGTCTGTTTATGTGTGTGTGTGTGTGTGTGTGTGTGTGTGTGTGTGTGTGTGTGTGTATGAGAGAGAAAAAGAGAGAAAGGGAGAGAGAGGGAGAGAGGGAGAGATGGGAAGAGGGAGAGAGAGAGAGAGAAACTCTCAATACTGGAGATAGAGGCTAGAGTGTCACACTTGCCAGACAAGCCGAGCTATACCTCTAGCCCTTTTCTACTTTTTATTTTGACACAGGGTCTCACTACATTGTCTGGGCTGGCCTTGGACTTGTCACTCAGGCAGGCTGTGGACTTGTGATTTTGCCTCAGTCCTCTGAGTGGCTGATCACATGTCTGTGTCACCAGGCCTGGCTAGTTAATTGAGAGTTTCCTTCCTCACCATTTAACTGCTTGCCTCTCCTTATATCCTAGGTTGTTAGGTGTTGCCCCCTTGCTCACACAGAGGGCACCAGACTGTAGTAGCTTGTTCTGGTGTTGAAATGACTTGAGGATGAGGGGACTGCAGATGGCAAGTAGGAGCTGAATTTGGATGACCTCTGTAATAACCATTTGACTAACCTCAATAGTTTGTGTACTTTGCTTTTTTGTGCTCCTATATGAGGGTTGTGACTTCTTAAAAAAAGCCAGGGCCTTCATGCCTGGCCCATGCTTTGGGCCAGTGTCTCTGTGCAATTTGAAGAAAAGATGCTAAGTAATTCCTTTTCAGCGTGTGGTCTTTGCCATCAGCCAATGTTGATAGCATTGTTACTGTTACAGATGGGATTAAAAATCCATAAGGAGGGAGCTATCAAGATGGCTCAACATTTAAGGTTGTGTGTGGTTCTTCTAAAAGACCCAAGTTTACATCACAGTATCCAAATTGGATAACTCGAAATGGCTGCAAGTTCAACTCCAGGGGATCTGATGCTCTCTTCTGGCACCTGTACTCATGTGTACACACACACACACACACACACACACACACACACACGCACGCACGCACGCACGTGCGCCATAGAAAATTAAAAAAAATAAGATCCTAGCTGGGTGGTAGTGGCATGTGCCTTTAATCTCAGCACTCAGGACACAGAGGCAGCTGATCTCTGAGTTCCAGGAGGCCAGACTACACAGAGAAACCCTGTTCCAAGCCAAATCAAAACAACAGCAACAACAGCAACCCAAACAGAGGACTCCATCAAGGAACTTGCTCGGCAGCATGGGCAGCGTTCAGCGTTGGATGTGGTTCATGCAGCTGGGTACAGGGCTCCTTTGCTCTTCCAGGGTTATCTTCAGGCTCAGGGGCCAAGCTGCAGTAGGGTATGGTTTGCTCAGGACACCTTTTTGGGTTGTGACTGAGGCCTGCAACAGTGGCCGATCCTGTTGCCTGCCTCATTGAGTGAGTGGCAGGAAACTGAACCAGCCTGCCTCGATGTTGGTATTTCCACAGCAGCCTCCCATTGTAACTTCACTTCACTCCTTGGTGTTTTAGGTGAGATGAGCGAGAGCCGAGCAAAGAGAGTTCGAATAAAAGAGGTCGACGGCTGGACCCTGAGGATGTTAATTGATTATGTTTACACCGCAGAAATTCAGGTCACAGAAGAAAATGTACAGGTAAGAGCAGGCCCTGAACACCACTTAGCTCCTTATGTGGGCAGTTTTTCTAATCCAAAACCACATTCCCACACAGCACACATTTTGTGCCAACAGTAATAAGATGCATTGTTGAAATTTCATTTCTGAGGGACACTTGGGATGATTGCATCTTTTTAGTGGTGTTTCTGATTTCAGTACCTTTTATATCTTTGCAGATCTGAGACACATCTTTTCTCTCTCTGGGTAATGCTCCCTCTTTTGTGACAACACTGTCACATTCTTTATAACTCCTGCTTCATGCGGCCCACAGTTTTTCTTTATTCCTTTGAAGGATAAAGTCTACACAGGATGTTTTTGACTACCAACATTCATTAATTCTGTATTATTTGAGTATCCTCTTTAAGTAATTCTGGAATTTAGCCAAAATTTGATGAGGCATCTTATTTTCTGTGGAGAACAAATGTTTTTGTGTACATTAAATAAATGTTTAAATGTTTTAAGTGGCATAGGAGGATGTTACAGAAAGGGAAAGTTTCTTTTTAACACACCCTACGCTGGTTTGAATATGACTGGCCCCCACAGGCTCATATATGTGAAAGCCTAGTCTCCAGGGAGTGGAGCTGTTTGAAAGGATTAGAAGGAATAAGAGCTGAGACCTGATGGAGGAAGTGTGTCACTGGGAGCGAACTTTGAGGGTTCAGAAGCTCAAGCCAGGCCCAGTGGCTCTCTCTGGGCCTGAGGATCAGGATGTGGGTCTCAGCTGCTGATCCAGCGCCATGTCTGCCTTCATGTCCTCCCCATCATGCTGATAATGGACTAAGCCCCTGAAACGGTAAACGAGTCCTAGTTAAATGCTTTCTTTTATAAGTTGCTGTGGTCATGGTAACTCTTTACAGATGTAGAACAGTGACCAGGAGAGGGTCTTTTCTGTGAATAACCCCAGATAGCCATCTACCCTTCCCCTTCCTGAGAAGGCAAGCTGCTGTCCTCTGTATGTGACAGGGTCTGTTCAGCCATGCATTCAGTCAAGTATATTAGCACATGACAGGCGTGCACAGAATTTAAATCTTGAGTGTGTTTATCCTGTATTTGTTTGGCAACTTTGCCTTTTTTTTCCCCACTCAACAGAATGGCTTGTTCTTTTGTGTGCATGATAATGGTGGTGGGTATGTGTGATGCTCTCCTTTGTGGATCGCTTCAGTGAGTGGGCGTCTCAGTATTTGTGTGCAGGAGTTCCACAGGCCGGACTGCCGAGAGTGGGATGGGTTGAGCAAAGAATACACACATCTCTTAATTCTGGGTGGCTGGGTCCTATCAACATTTAAGTGTTTGTATTTATTTACTCCTTTCAGTAGGGATACTGTTTTAAGAACAACAAAGAGAACTTAGAACCACTTGTTTTTAAAGATTAGTTTTCATTTATATGTCTGTGTTTATGTGTGTGTGTGTGTGTATGGAAGGTGTGTGTTTGAGCTCTTGGGATCCCTCGAGCTGGACTTGCAGGCGCTTTTCAGCTACTCAGCATGAGTGCGTGTTGAGAACTAGACTTTGGTTTTCTGGAAGATTAAGCAAGTGCTCTTCACTGTGAGCCATCTCTCCAACCCCTAGAACTAAAACTCTTAAGGAGCAGTTTCTAATTTCTACTTGTACAAATAAGATACAGGTTTTGTATTTTGTGCCTCTGGCTAGCTGAAATGGTCTACTTTGTATTTGATTAGAGACTGAAGAACTGCTGTCGTGGCATGTCACATGCTGCCTGCTAACTGTAAAATGTTAGCAGGAGGAAGGTAAGCCTCCTGGAATTCCTTTTAATTATTCTCTTTCTAGACTCTGTACATGTTGCTTGGGCCTCTCACTTATGAGTAAAATGTTTGAAAATTCACCATCCATTTTGGAGTTGTTTCTAAGGGTGACTGGATCATGTGCTTAATGAACATTACTTTTTTATTTATCTGGGGGGGCATGCATGCTATGGTATACATGTAGAGATCAGAGGACAGCCTTAAGTGTCATTTCTTGCCTTCCACCTTGTTAGAGGCAGGGCCTCTTTGTTGTTCAACACTATGCCAGGTTAGCTAGATAGCAAGCTTCCAGGGATTCTCCTGTCTCTGTCTCCAATCCTGTTGTAGGAACTTAGATAGTACAGATGCATCCTACTGTGACTGGTTTTATGTGGGGATTTGAACTCAAGTCTTTATGCTTACATAACAAACACTTTACCCACTACTCCATCTTCAAAACCTTGAATGAACATTTGTTTTAGTGTGGAGGGATGTGTTGGCATTATGTCAGGAAATGAGAGTAGGTTGCAATATGTCATCTGCTTCTGGACTTTCCTGTACACTTGAACAGTTTCTGGGTTCTGGGGACATTGTTTTCAATAAGAGAGTACCTGGGCTTTATTTTGTTGTGCGTTTTATTTATTGATGTGCATGAGTGTCATTGTGCTCTGTACCTACCCAGCAAATGGACTCCAGGTTTCTCTGTCATATACTGGCCATGTGCATGGGATTTGCTCCAGATGTGCAGGCCTGAGCGTCTAAACAGTAAGTTCTGTCTTTCCTATAGTTTGTAGCAGTTTTTACGGTGGGAACATTGCCTGTTAGGAGTAAGAACACCTCTCAGGTTTCTTTTAATAACTGTCACACTCTAGTCTTAATATATTAGTCACAGCCTTTGAGAAAAACTCCTTGCCTTGATAATCTGCCTTGTGTGTATTGCTTAGCCCTTACAGAAGTACATTCTAGGCCTGAAAGACACTTAAGGAATTGCCCAACATCCTTAGCCATCAGGGAAATGCAAATCAAAACTCTGAGATACCATCTTACAACCTGTCAGATTGGCTAAGATCAAAAAACACTGATGGCTTATGCTGGTGGTAATGCAAACTTGTACAGTCATTTTGGAAGTCAGCATGGTAGTTTCTGAGAAAATTGGGAATCAATCTACCTCAAGACCCAGTCATACCACTTTTGAGCATATACCTAAAGGATGCACATTCATACCACAAGGTCATTTGTTCAGTTATGTTCATAGCAGCATTATTTGTAATAGCAAGAATATGGAGACAACCTAGATGGCCTTCAACCGAAAAATTGAAAAGAAAATGTGGCACATTTATACAATGGAGTACTACTTAACGCTAAAAAACAATGACATCCCGAAATTTTCAGGCAAATGGATGGAACTAGACAAAACATCCCAGACCCAAAAGACAAATAGTATGTCCTTACTCATAAGTGGATATTAGGCATAAAGCAAAGGACAACCAGCCTACAGCCCACAACCCCAGAGAAAGTAGGTAACAAGGGAGGTCCTAAGAGATACATACATGGATCCCCAGAAGGCGGAAGGGACAGGATCTCCTGAGTAAATTGGGGAGGGGGAGTAAAAGGGGATGAGGGAGAGGGAGGTGAACATGAGGGAATGTGATGCTCCAGTTGGGGGAAGGACAGAGATATCTTGATAGAGGGAGCCATTATGGGGTTAGTGAGAAAGCTGGCACTAGGGAAATTCCCAGGAACCCACAAGGTTGACCCCTGCTAAGACTCCCAGCAATAGTGGAGAGGATACATGAAGTGACCTTCATATGTAATCAGATTGATAGCTACCTTAATTGTCATCATAGAACCTTCATCTAGTAACTGATAGAAATGGATGCAGAGATCCATGGCTAAGCACTGAGCTACCAGAGAGGGAGGAGGGATTATATGAACAAAGGGGTCAAGACCATGATGGGAAACCCACAGAACCATCTGACACAAGCAGTGAGAGATCACTGACTCTGGGCTGACAGCTGGGGAACCTGTATAAGACTGAACCAGGCCCTCTAAATGTGGGTGACTGTTTACGGGGCCCTGGCAGTGGGATTGCTGTTTATCCCTTGTGCATGACCTGGCTTTTTGGAGCCCATTCCCTGTGGAGGGATACCTTGATCAGCCTAGATACAGAGTGGAGGGCCTTGATTCTACCTCAGTGTGATATGACAGACTTTGTTGACTCCGTATGGGAGGCCTCACCCTCTCTGAGGAGTGGATGGGGGGTGGGGCAGATGGAGGGCAGGGAGGGGGAGCTGGGATTGGTATGTAAAAAAAAAAAAGATTGTTTTAAAAAAATAAGAGAAAGAAGTACAATCTAAGAGTTGCATTGAGCCTCCTTGTTCTGTTCTGTAGCTTTCTTGTAGATGGGGAGGGTATCTCTTTAGCTTAGGGTACCCTGGTTTAATAAAATCCTTATTTTGTAGTCCACTGAAAATCCATGTTTTGAAAAGACATTTGGACCTTTCTGTAAGGAGTAAGACTTACTTGGTTTTGATTGTCTTTGTCGGTCTGTGCTGTGTTCCTGTCCAGTCCAGTCCATTTTAAGGAAAGGGGTAGTACAGTGTAGGTGTCTGGTGACCTCAGGAAGGTTATGCTGAATGAAGTGGTTACCTGGTGACCCCAGGCTGCCCTGAGTACTATGCTTATTCTAGTGGGGACAGTGTCCTCAGAACATTGTGGAATGCAAATATGTGCTGTTGTTGCTTGGTTTTCTCATTAGACCTAGAATCAAATCTTTTGCAAGATGAACTCATTTTTCTAGACTTCTGATTTGGAAGTGAAGCTGAGTGACACTGTGACAAGTGTCTCCAGGAGCATGTGTTTCCTTGAGACTGTCAGCTCTTGCTTTAGGGTACTTGGGGCCAGCTGTCTCCCAGTCAGCTGGTGACAGAACAAGACCTTTATCCTGTTTCTCAGGTCTTCTTATTTGAGTCCCCTTCCCCCTTCTTGCAGGCATTTAAAACACCTTGATAGCTATTTGAGGTAAAGGCTGTTAACGTTGAGTCAGAATGAGGGAATGAGTGATTTGAGGATTTCATTCCAAAGAAGGAAGAAGCTCTTCTGTATTATATAAGCAACAGGGCTATTTCAGGTTTCCTTGATTTTGATCCCCCCCACTTTGGTATTACTGTTGTGTTTTTTCTTTTTGTTTTAGGTATTTTTAAACTTTGAGTTTGGCTGTTTTGTTTCATATATTTC